AGAGAAGCAGAGAAAAACATCAAGAAATCTACTTAACAAGTTTAAACAAATTGATGGGAGGAACAAGTAAGGTATGACAATGAGAGATTGTCAAAGAGAAAGTATTGGTAAGAGTAACAAAAGGCAGGAGGCTGTGGAGAGACATTATTGCCCACATTCTGAACCATCATACCAGAGAGAGAGAGAGAGAGAGAGAGAGAGAGAAAATTATTAATCTTTCATTGTTAACTGTATTGAAAAATGGTTAATTTGTATACAAGGAATTACTTAGATCTCTTGACCTTCAAATTGTACCACTTAAACCAAACAAGCACGTATTCCAATCTTTACAAACAATTGAAAACAAATTCTTCAAAACTTAATTAGGCCAAAACAAATTCTGCTTTCCTTAAGCTAAATTTTGGATATCAATATTTTGTCAGTTTTGCTGTGTCTGGCACAAGGTCAGTTGAAGGTAATGGGAACAGTGGTTGTGTTAAAGTAGTTTCAATCTACTTGGGCTTGATCACCTATTGCAGTATTTCTCAACCTTTTTATACAACAACACACCTAAGAGCAAATGAAAATTTCATAGCACACTTAGCAAAATTTTTAAAGGGTATACGTTTAAATGTTATGAAATAAAACCATAAATTTTGAATTAAACAAAGAATGTTGTATACTATCAGAATATTGTTATTATTATAAATAAAAATGAAATATAAAATAATAATAATGAAAATTATAAATAAAATAAAATAAAATTTAAACTTCACTTAAAATAAATAAAAAAATAAAAATAATAAAATTACTTCCAGCATGCAACAGGGACTGTTCCTTCTGGAAGTACAGACATCCCACCAAAAGATGTGAGATTCAATCTCTTCATCCAAGAACCATCAGGAGGACAACACGTATATAAATTCTCTCTGTGATTGGACTTGTGATATTATGGAGTGACTTACTCCCTTTTATAACAGGAACATTATCACAATTATCACAATTGTAATCAAAAACATGCACACAAATACATAAATAAAACTGTATGAAATTACCATACAATTTATCATGTTTTTTTCTTATTGTTATTGTATATGTTTCTTTGTACTGTTTTTACTTGTGAACACAAGCACAAATTTGTGACTCCTATGGTGTGAGTAAATACCCCACATAACAATTATATAAAAAAAGTTAATATTCATTTATTCAAATACAGGAAAAATTTTAAGTTTAATTAAAAAATAAAAATACTTTTAAAAAAAATGAATATTAAAACAAAGTATTTAAAATAGCTTAATCAAAAAATAGTGAAAAGAATTATTTAAAAAAAAGTTTAATACTTATTCATTTATTCAAATACTAACCATTACTATTTCCCCAATATTTGTGGAAGTAGTAACAGTAACAATATTTCATAGTACACTTAAGAGGGTCATGAAGCATATGAGTGCACCCTGGTATGGCAATTGAGAATCACTGCTCTAGTGTTTTTAGGAAATATATATAATGATAGTGGATTTTCATTTTAAAGCAACAAAAGAAAAAAACCTGAAAATGTGTTTCTAATTATCTGTTACAATTTCAGAGCCGAAGCACTTTGAACCCTGGTAAAAGACACTCGAGGTCTTTGAAATATTTGCATTTAGTGAATAAGAGCAATGGTGAAATTAGCCATTTCCCTATAAGGAAACATTTGACATTCATTAAGTGAACAATTACAGCTACTATTGATTGAAATTAATAAAATCTTTTTCTTAAAATAGTTTTCCACAAAATTAGACTTTTCAAGCCCACTAAGTGTTATAACTCTTTCTAGTACTGATGTGAATTTCCTTTCGAGTTTTTTTGTTTTCAGTACTGTTTAAAGGAGGTACAGTGGAGTAATGGGCAGTGGCTCGGATTGAGGAATCAGAGAGCCAGGTTCAAATTCCAGTTGAGTTCATTATATTCACTTATGTGTTAATACCCTTAGGAAAACTATGAATCAATCCCTTTTCACCCCAGCTTTGGGTAAATAGCAGGGTCCTATAGCCTTGGTCAGTGACTAGTCTAGGAGAAGGAAAACTCATAATTCAAACCAGTCAGGAGAGGGTTGGGCATAATAAAATACCCTTTTTACTGCAGCTGCAGTTCATGTGGTGTCCCTACTATCCTAAAGGGTTCTATAGCCTTGGATGGCAACCAATGTAGGAGAAGGAAAAACTCTGAATTCAAAACCAACTGAGAGAGTGTTGAACTCCATCAGGCTATCTTGCTCAGGTAATCCCATTGTTACTGTAGCTACAGTTCATGTGGTATCTCTACTACCTTGAAGAGCACTATAGCCTTGGGTGGCAATTGGTCCAAGAGAAGGAAAAATTCTGAATTCAAAACCAAACTGGAGAGGGGTGGGCTCCATCCATATATCTTGCCCAAGAAACACCAGTGTTACTGCAGCTCCAGCACATATAAAGCCCCTACGACCCTTATAGGGTCTCATGATTGTGATGACTGTGGAAAGCCAACATCTTGATTATATAATTATTTACCTGTTGCTACTGTACTGTTGGAAGTGTTTATAGTGATGAGGTTTTGTTATTTGTTAAAGTTCTTTATTTTTGTAGCACGTGTATGTAAAGTGTGATGAAGGATTGTCATTTTTAAGACACAAAGAATTCGTTCACTTGATGGCATTTTTAGTCATTGATCTAAGATATTGGTAATTGTAATGGCAATATTAACCATTTCCCTACAAGGAAACATTTGAACAATCAATACTGCTTTAGGTTGAAATTTATAAAATCTTTTGCTTAAAACAAGGTTCGCATATCTAGTAGCTGCTACTTCTCTTTCTAGTATTGATGGGGGTTTCCTTCCTAACCTTTTATTTCTAGTAGTGTGGAACATCAAAATCTTGTTTCTCTTATTTGATACAGTTCTTTTTTTTGTGAATCTGTAGCACCAGTCTAGAATGTTCAAGGAAGAATGATCTTTGCCCAGACCCTCAAGTTTCACTCACACAAATCAATTTTTAACCATTGATCTTATAAAGTGGTTGGATAAAGCTGTTATTTTATATATTTCTGTGTTTGGCACCAAACATGACATCCATATGAAAGTCTCGATCTGATGAGTTTATTTCAAAACATGACTTGAGTTTTCAGGTAATTTTATTTTTTGTAGCACTTTGTGTTGTTGAGTAAAACTACCTTTGGTGTAGCCTATTCTAGGCTTAATTTCCTTTCCTCCTAGACTAAATTTGTTATAACAGAACCATACACCAAAGTAAAATTGAAGTGTTTAGTATTTAATAATTCCACTTTCAGAAATTTTATGATGGTTTTATTAGATAATAGACATTTTTGAATGGGTTGGATGCCATAAATGACATCCATATGAAAGTCTAGATCTGATGAGTTTATTTAAGAACATGACTTAAGTTTCCTGGTTAGTATTTTTATAGCATCTTACTGCCCTGGATAAAAGTTCCCCTAGCATAATCTATCTTGTGTTCAACTTGTCTACCCTCTAAATATATTATAACTGATATATATATTGAAGTATTTAAAGTGTTTTGAATTTATCAATTCAATGTTCCAGATTTTTATGATAAATTCAGTGTAGTTACCAACACTATTCTCATTCCAATTCCAGATCATTTTTTTTTCAATCCATATAAAGTCAAACAATCACTCAAAGTAAAGCCTTACTAAATGAAGTTGTAAGGTTGTAAAGGGAGGAGGAGGAAGAGGAAAAGGTGTTCAAAGTAATGGGCCTCCTTGGGAGAACATCCATTCATCATAACAAGAAAAGATTCTGTACTAGCCATTCAAAAAATTACTGTAATTTGCTTATGGTCAGGTGAATATTGGACATGTAATAGGACATCCCAGCCATGTTGTACCAGTTTTGTTTGTAAATCTGAAATTCACCTTTGACCAGCACCTGGTTAGGTTACAAATTCCACTTCTTGGTTACTTATGATGACTGGATGCTGAAAAAGTGTCATAATCAAAAAGTGACACTTGTCAAAAAATCATGGCCAATGAAAAACAGGTGAAGGAATCAGTTTTATTCATGGGATATAATTAAAAAATAATTAAAAACGTTGGAATTGTATAAAAATTAATGTAGGAATTATTTTAATAAAAAAGATATTAAAATTGTATAAAAACTAAAACTATTTTGGGATGAATTAATATTAATATAAAATTCATATATTCATTAATATAAAAATTATTTAGTGTAAAAACTGATTAGAATGTTACTAACACAGTTTCCTTTTCAAAGAAACCATCAAAATAAAGCCAAATATATTATAACATGAATGAAAAGTGATGTGTGAAGATTTGAAAAAACAAAAAAGGCTTCAAATTGATGTTAAAAAAAACCCTGCCAAAATGGGGCCAAATAGTTTAAACATTCTGTGTCAATGTTTTACAGGATAGGCTTGGCTCTGACATTTAAAAACAGCCAAATTTGAATTGGGAATGGGCATGATTTGATTATATAGACTTTTGAGTTTTTAACATCCAATGAGGATAAAAAGTATATACTCCCTAAGGAGTTGTTTTTGGGTCATTTACATATCACTACACCACTCTTATATAGCAGACACATGGATGGGCCCCAAAAAACAACTATTAAGCCCAATTAGCATAGCTAGTGTGTAGAGACTATACAAGTGCTGTAAGGAAAGGAGCAGAACAGGACATGTAAGATTAATGACCACTGCTGAGAAAATATGAAGGAAATTTCATTTCATTTCAGCAGAAATTTTGTGAAGTCAGATGGAAATAGATTACACTTGGGCAAAAGGTTGTCATCAGGCAGAAACAATTCTATTCCATGAATTATTTAGACTAGCATCTTCATCTTTGTTATTCTGATTGCTAAAATTTGTAGATGTATGTTTGGCCTTTTCTATGTGCACATTAGTGAATTCCTAGATGAAAAGGCTTTAGGATAAAGTAATGTCCTATAAGCTCAGTTTAAAAAATAAAACGTGTTCTATAAGGCTAACGTTTAAATAACAGACTTACCCTTCCCTGATTGGATGTTTCTTGACACATCGACCACCCATTGCACTCACAACACAAATTTGATGTTTGGCACAGCCATGGGGACATCCTGTCAAAGAAATTGAAATGTTAATTTTTAGCAATTAAAATGGAAATAATATTTGAAAAATCTGAAAAGAGGAAAAAGACATAACATTATTTAAAAGATAAACATTTTTTTTTAATCATTTCACCCCATGCAAGGCAGTAAAGCCACAAAGATACAAGGGGTTACTGAGTGTGAAAGAATAAGAAGAAAGAAACATTATTAAGGGGCAAGAACAATTGACATTGCATTTAAACTGTTGACGATCAAAGCTGGCTGGAAAGCATGAAGTTGGAAGAGAGTTTCACAAGTGAGAAGTGTGAGAAAAGAAACTGTTAGCATAGAATTTATGGTTACATCTAGTCAATTCAACTGTGAATTGATGAGACTTTATAGCTAATCTAATCAATCAGTTAAGTCCCATACATGATACATGTTTGAGTGATCATGTCTCTTTTGATACAAGGCAGATGATTTTTCCCTGAGTAGGTTGCTATTTCTTTTTGCAGTAGATTGCCAGCCAAAGCTATAGAGCTCAGTTTGTCCTGATATTCAATCCAAAGCTGGGGGAGAAGAGATGGATTAATTACCTTCCCCAAGGGTATTTGTGCATAAATGAATGTAATAGACTCAACTGGAAATTGAACTCAGTTCTCTGATTTCTCATTCTGAGTCAATATCCATTACATCACAACACACACTTGTCAATCTAGTACTGCTCTTAAATTCATAAAGTCTACATACTATAGACCAAATTTCATGAGAACAATTATGATGAAATTATTTAGAGAAAAGACACAGAGAAGCTACATTATGGTGGTGGGAAAACGACTGAAGCTGAGATGCCAGGTCATGGCGAATAATATTGCCGATTCTTCTTTGGATTTTATCAAGAATCTCTAAATATACAACAATATTCTAAACAGGGATGAATCGTAGACTTATAAATATTTAAGATAGATACAGGGGTGAAAAATTGTCTAGCATGGTACAGTGAACCAACTTTCTTTGTAGCAGACCAAGAAATAGATTCATTTTGTATATTCTTATTAAATGCAAACACCTAAGAAAAATAACCATATCTATTTACTTGAGCCATATTTATTTCCAAGTTATGAAGTTAAGCTATGTTGAACCTGGACAGTACCTAGATGGGTGACCACTGGCAAATATCAGGTGCTGTAAGCTTGGGTGTACAGGTGGTGTAATAAATAAAGGCTCAGAATGAGAAATCAAAGAGCCAAGTTCTAATTTTAGTTGGGTTTGTTACACTTATGTGTAAATGCCATTGGGAAAGGCATGAATCTATCTCTTTGCATCCCAGCTATGGGTTAAAAAGTAAGACTTGTATCAAGAAATCATTATTATCGCCTAAACATTCTAACAATCCAATATTTGGCTTTAAATAATCTCAAAAATGTTTCATAAGCCATAAAAATCAGATCAATCGTGTAATTTGAGGCCTTAAACAAGTAAAATTTATGTCTGTCTATATTTCTGAGATGAGGTATTATGTACATTATTTACATTATTCGGACTATTGTCCTCATCTTTGTCACCATATTTATCACAACATTTCGGCCGTTGTATGCTCCGGCCTTCTTCAGGTGGTTGGAATTTCGAACTGAACCCTTTATTTCGCTCACTGGGGTAGACTGTTCTAGTTCCATGTGCCATGTTTGATGGATGTCAGTTATCTCCTGCAAATTTCCCTCTGAAAGTTCTCCACTGCCTTAACCAGGTATTGAACTTACACTCTTTGGATCCTGTCACTGGATCTAACCAACGCCTTTATCCACTGTGCCATGTGTCCTTGAGGACATCTGGGTCTGGAAGATAACTGATAACTGACATCCATCAAACATGGCACGTGGAACTAGAACAGTCTACCCCAGTGAGCAAAATAAAGGGTTCAGTTCGAAATTCCAACCACCTGAAGAAGGCCGGAGCGTACAACGGCCGAAACGTTGTGATAAATATGGCGACAAAGATGAGGACAATAGTCCAAATAATGTAAATAATGTAAAATTCATGCATTGTTTATTTCTGGGATTGAGGGCAGGTAAATGAAATACAAAAAGCCAAACACTGAAAAAGAGAGAAGAACATATGGATCAGTTTATTCCAATTAAATATAAGACCTAAATAAAACAATCATGTTTATTTAGTTGTGTCATATCTCTGTATATATCTTTTTTCCCAAGCAAAGCAGTAAAGCCACTGAGATACAAGGGGTTACTGGTGTTTGGTTTGGTTAATTTTTTGTTTTACGGCATATCAACCTCAATGGGTTATTTAATGCCGACAACATTTTTAGGATAGATTCGTATGAATAGAATATGTATTCTTTGGTTTAGATTGGTTTGGTTTATTTTGTTTTACGGCATATCAACCTCAATGGGTTATTTAATGCCGACAACATTTTTAGGATAGATTCATATGAATAGAATATGTATTCTTTGGTTTAGATTGGTTTGGTTTATTTTGTTTTACGGCATATCAACCTCAATGGGTTATTTAATAGTGACAAAATTTTTTATTGCTGGTAATATTTTGTTTTATCAAAAATCTGTTTCTGGTAATATCTTTCCTTCAAAATTATATTGCTGGTAATAATTTGTTTCAAAAAAGTATTGCTGGTAATAGTTAACTATTTGCCCATAGCTGGGACCCTAACAGGTGCTACTATCCCAGGTCAGGGTGGACCTGGGAACACCAACAATTAAGAGGTGGTTCCACGCTCCTCAAAACCTCCTGATCAGAGGCCTTGCTGCTGGACGTAGTTTAACGTCTTACTCATCTGTAAATTGATGGGACCTTGACCCCAATCTAATACTATGTTTATGTTTAAAAACAAAATTCATAGCAAAGAGTGATATTTATTTGTAATTATTTACAAAATGTGGCACAAGGCCAAAATGAGAATGGGGAAAAAGCCAGTCTTTATTTGTCTTAACTTTAAATTTAGCTAGTCACAACCACTGACCCATACATACCACAATGTTCCTAACAACAAAACAACGCATTCTTACTTACTTTTCTTATTACATCCACAAAACTATTTACAAGAAACCAAATAAATAATTTTAGTAATACCCCCCCCAATCCTTAAATGTAGCAGAAACATTAGTTTACTGGACAAAATCTAAGCAGGACTTTAATAATATATACATATCAAAGAGCTTATCTGAATAAATACCATGAAAGTATTTATAGAAAAGGCACAGGGAAGCAACTTTATACTGGTGGAGAAGAGACTGAAGCCAAGACATCAGATCAGGAACATTGCTGATTCTGCTTTGGATTTTAGCAAGTATATTTACATTAGTCAGCCTACTCAGACTATTTAATCTCCATTCCCAGGCTTTACCAATTAGTTATATCAACAAGCAAAAAGGCATATAAGAAAAACAGATCATTGGGTAGCTGCTTTTTTTTTTTCATACTCAGAAATAAGAAACATCAAGAAGTGGTATGACATTTATATATATCTGTTTTATTTTTTTTTATTTCTCAGTGCAGTGAAGATGTCGAGAAAAGAAGAATGACTTAAAAATATATTTTACCTACTTTTAATGCGTGCTTAGGAAAGTAAGTAAAAGCAAACTTTGCTTGCATGCTTGGATTATTATACCATAGCAGTAGTAATTTTTGGCTGCTTTACTTTGTAGACTCACTTTATAGTGAACACATTATTAGAACATATTCTGTTATCTTATCAGTTTCAAACAAAGTAAAAACCTCTTTTTATTGAAAGCTAGCTAAAAGTCACACTCTGTGCAGACTTTTCAGCTAGCTCCTGTCAAGGTCTAATTACACCTCTGGATGAAAGCTAAAGGGACCTCTGGTCCAACTTCGAAAACAGCAATGATAATTTTGAAGAAATAACTTTGAATTCCTCAATTCACTCCATGGAACATCAAAACCTCACTTTATGTCTGATTCTTGGTATAAGTCCAATTCTGGGCAAAAGACCAATTTGAGCTGAAAGTCTAATTTGGGCTGAAACTCTAATTTGTACCGAAATTCCAATTCAGGTTAAAAACTGAGTTTTTCAAATCACAAACTCGGTGGTACTTCAACTGAGCTGAGTTCTTCAAATCATAAACTCTGCAGAACTTCAAAACCTCAGGACACGAAACCTTTCACTTTAACTTCGATTCCTTGGCATTTTGAAGAAATAAAATTGATTTCACAATTTTTGGGAGATATTTTAAACTGAATTTAAAAAAAAAAAATTTGAATTGGTAAACTCAATATAAATTAAAAACTTTTAAAAATACTAATTTTTTTTCAGTATTTTAAAATTTGAATTTTTAACTGTTACCTTCTCATCTGCACACAAATCCCAATGCTGGATGTTCAAGTACCAAATGAAGGGTAGATTTTCAATCCAAGGGTCAACCTGATACCCTAAAGGCATAATTTGACTATGTAGAGCATAAAGGGGTTTCAGACACACGGACAGACAGAACTTGAGGTTTATTTATTTAGATTATTAAACAGATGTAATGTCTCTATTGAGTAGTTAACAACTTAAAATAAGGTTTAGTTGACTTATAATTTATGAAGAAAAATAAGATTAACCTTTAAAACTTATATCAAATTACTGGTCTGGAAAGTTTCACCTTTTAAGCATGTATAGCTGATGAGTTATAAGAAGTTTTATTTTGTCGAGCGATTTGATTTTTCTTTTCAGAGTTAGTGTTCTAGTTATTTACTACACTTAGCTGAATTTTTTGTTTAAACTTAGGACCCCACAAGCAAATCAGTAAAGCCTCTAAGATGCAAAAGGTTAGTGTGTGTAAGAAGAATTAGAAAACAGAAACATTATTAACGAGAAAGAACTAAAAGAGTAATCAGGAGGACTGTAGATAGTAGTTGACATTGCATTTAAATTTTTAAGATTAAAGTTGGCTGAAAAAGCGGCATGGAATTCTACAAGCAAGAAGTGTGAGAAAAGAAACTGTTTGCATA